AGTTTCAGTAAGAACACCTGGAATTGGGAAAGCTGAGATAAGAACTCCTTCTGAAGGTGTTTCCAGCTTTATCCAGTTCTGCTCATCACACCTGTGGCTTTTTGTGTTCAGCACCTTGTCCAGATGTTTGAAAGGAACAACTGTTGTTCATTGCCACACACACCTGCAGACAAAACTGAGTGGTATGGGAGCTATTGTTTTTATTACTAATTGTGCTGTGAAAGGCTCCTGCCAGGCTGAGGTGTTTAAGGGATTCATGTGAATTCCGCAGGACCTGTGCTTTGCATGGGCTGCCCCACAGCTGAGCTGGCAGCAGCTGCCTCTCACCACCTTGCTGGTGAAGATTACCACCCTCTCCAATACACCAGCTCAGGTGGCTCTTTTCACCTGCCTCCACCCTGAGTCAGGCACTTTGATTTAAGATGGTTTAAACAATTTAAAAACCCCAAACAAACAGTGAAACAAACAAACAAACAAAAAGCCCTACAGAAAACAAGACAAGACATTTACAAAACCAACTAAGCTGGCAGGTGGCAAAAAATGAGCGCATGGGCAATTGAGTTGGTAGGTAGGACAAGTACCTTGGCCCAGGATCTGTGCAAAGCAGCTGAGAGCAGAGAGGAGAAAGCAACTTTGCAAGGAGGACATTTAAATTTGGAAGTGATTGAATGTATCATTACCCTCCATGCACCAAAAGGTGCCAGTTACCTATGCAATGAGGATTAAAGGGTCTGGCTGTTCCTTCTGCAACAAAGAATTTGTCTAATCACCTTATTCAACTTCCTAATCTAGTTTAGGTTCTTTCCCTCTTTTGGACAGGCTTATCTCTCTGTGTATATTTTTTATGTAACAGATGTGTGTGTCTGTATATATAGTATGAAAAACATGTATTTAGAAGTTGAAACTGTCAGAATTATTTCTGTTCATCCCAGCTCAAAAGCTCATCTCACACTTCCATCCACAATTTATTCATCTTGTGCCTCCATATGATGAAGAAACTTTAATTGTGTGAGTACAGATTTCCTGCTCACCTCCCTGCCCTGTGCTCTGTTTCATTCCATACACAAATGCCACCAATATTACTTTGGTTCATTTTGCTGTGGCTCTAAGGAGTCTCAAATGGGGTCTGGATTCAAAGCACTGTCAGCGAGCTGCGTGGCAAAAGGACCAGGCATGCTCACAGGCTGACACAGATGGAGCTTGGCTATCTGACTTACCTCTAATTTACAATATGGTCACACACATCTGTTCTGTGCGGTGTTTGTCCTGACAGCTCCTGACAGCACAGTGCCTGGGCCATGAAGGTGACCTGGAAGGTGGAAAGAGTTACGGTTCTCTTCCTCTTGTCAGCCTTGGGGAAAAGGAGATCACCAGGAGCCAGAATCTTTGCACTGGCAATACTCAGCATTTGGGAATGATCTTCAGAGGCTTCATCAGTATTTTAGCCCTTCTCAACAGGCTTCCTGGGATACGAAGTGGTTTTGTACTGCTGACACCTTGCAACTGCTGCCTTCTAGAGCCATCAGGGTACCCGTACTACATTCCCCTGATTAACTAAGTGCTGATTCCCTTCTTCCTTATCTTCTGTGCCCTGTCAATGAGATTATCCCAAACCACCCGTCTTCCATTGTACTCACCATGGAATTTTCTTTAAGCCAGGTTTTCCAAGCTTTTCAGAGCTCCACCTCAGGTCCACCTTTAGAGAGTGGATTCTGGTTCACAGTTTATGTATATTCAGAGCAATGAACTAGCCCACCTCCACCTCACGTTGATGGTGGTTGTGGCTTTAAGTTTTTAATTTCTACATCAATCAGGCTTTTTTTTTTTTTTTAAGCTTTTTTTGTTGTTTTTGTGTTTTGTTTTGTTTTTCTCTTCTGCATTCCTCAGTGGTGCAGCATTTATTGCACAAGGGAGCAATCACCTGATACATCCTCTCAGATTGTGTTCGGGATGTGACTACTACATTCCTGTGGGCAGTATAAAGTCAACAGCTGTCAGGTAGAAATGAGAGACTGGGGAAGTTAGCAGTGTGGATCCACAGCAAATATCAATGATGTAGTTTTATGGTTATTTGTAGCAATGAGAAAATGTAATCAGAAACCTAAAGGTATTACAAGTAATTCAAGACAAACAGACATCAGCTTGTATCAATTCACTTTACTGCTTGCAGTAGGCATGTCCATCTGATTTATGGTTACAATGACAAAAACCACCATCATGTAAAACAATCAGAAGGCAACGTGAGAAATTGTGTGACAATTGTGTGAACGTTGCTGTATAAATGGGGACTCACAGCAGCCTTTCAAAGTCTGAATTTTAGGATATAGACAAATAAATGAGGCAGACAGGGATGTGGCCTCAGCACTAGTTCTGAGCACTACATGTAGATGGGATGTTTTGTGATTAAGGAAATCTTCCTTAAAAAGCCAAAAAGTTGAAGCAAAAAAGCAAACACCACCAGGCAATCAGTACACAGGGAGTCAGGTAGGAACTGGATCTTCCAAATATTAGGCCTTCATGTGGAGCAATTTTATTTTTTTTTATCACAAAGCCAGGAAATATTTGAATGCCTTTTGCTAGGCTATTCATCTCCACTCGATAGCTCTGAAGATTTACTGACTGACTCCAGATGACAGGGATTAGCAGATGCAAACCATTTAACTGAGGTGCTCTGCTTCCTGCTGAGTTCTAGGTAGCAAAGGTTCACTAAAGATGGACTCTCTTTGCATAGGTGATTTAAGAAATAACCAATAAACCCACAAAAACCTAAAAGCAGAACTAGGACAGAGCCTCTATTCAAGAGTTTTTACCAGTAGGAGTTTATCTGTTCTATTATCACCTTGGACACGTGTGGATACAATCGGAAGATAATACAAATAATCGCTTGGTCAGAAAACAAGTTTAAGTAGTTTAGTCCTATTATGACTTAAACATAGATGTGAGTAAAGCTCCCAGCTGGGATTAGAACAGTATTGTGAAAACTACTTTGAGTGACAGGAGAGATTTCTGCCTGGCCAAAGTGTTTGTGTTCTTATTTCAGCTAAGCAATTTAAAAAATGGGTGCAATGAAGAAAGTGGGAGAAAAAAAAGTAGAATAGTGTGTAAAGTTACGGGAAAACATGGTTCCTGAGCCCAGCTATGTGAGCAGCTACCTTTATGAAATGCTTTCTGTTTTTAACAAATATGTAAGAAATCAAATGTTGGTCATCTATATTTGCTACCCACCAAGCTAGTGTTAAGTTTTACTTTCAGAGAGTGTGGTGGTATAACTTAGAGGTTTAGCACGTGTTGGAGTTGCCAGGAGCTCCAGTGAGATGAGTAAAATGTGTATAAAACTGAGTAACTGTACCCACAGGTGAACAGTATGTGCTTGTTTTAAACTTGTAAAAAATGGGACCAGTCAACCAAATAGGATAGTTTTAAAGAGAAAATGCTACCAGGTATATTCTGTCATGTAAAGCAATTGGACTAGCCAGTGGGAAGAATATAATGCAGCATGGCAGTCTTTAATTTACCTCTGAAATATATCAGGTACCCTCAGCATTTCCAGATCAGAAATGTTTTGTGATAAGGCTCTTCCCTTTTGGCACCGCTTTTCAGCTACATATTCACTTTAACCCTCATATTCTCCTTTACTTTCTCATGGTCTAAACACATCCCTAGAGTTCAGCAATTGTAAATTACACTACCTGTGGCTTTTGGACCAATTTCACCTAAAAGTTATCATCTATGCATGTGGACCTTTCAGAATTAGCTTATCTAAATCCAGATGTAACTTCTTAGTTGTTTAAACCAGTTTTGTAATGGATAAATTTTGGTTTGTTACCAAGAAGGACAAAAAGTATTATCTATCTCAAATATTGTGGAGTCTTAGATATATTGGTGTGGTATTTTCTAATAAATGTTTAATTGATAATCATGAATTATTTTTGTCTGCTTTAGTCTCCCTGTATTTGTAATGCTTTTTCTCCTTCACAGGTCTTATTACCCAAAGTATTTGCTAGTAGAACCAATTTTAGCCCTACTGAAATGAATATATACACCTGTTATCTTTGCTGAGAGCAAGAATTAGCACAATTTTAAACACTCTTGTTCTGTATTTAAAGTCCAGCTATCCATCAGAGTTATTAATAATAGTTTTTGAAGTGGTTATTGGTTTTGCTACTCAGTCATATATATCTATGCTTAGAAATAAAAAAAGGAGAAATTCAGTTCCAAAGTAGACAGAAATGGGGTTGCTGACAGTCAGTGGTATTGATACTTTTCTACTAGACTCCAACTGCCTGCTGAGCTGAAATAGCATCCTTTTATGTGTTGTGTTCTGGGTTGTTTCTTTGGCTGATACAGGAACTAAATTACATACAACTGTTTACATGACTATTCAGGTCATGGTTTTTCTTTCAAATCTGTAGGATGAAAAATGCTTCAATAGGTCTCTTTTATAGTATCAACTTTTAAATGAGACCAGCTTACAGGAGACTGAACAACTGCAATTGAAGGGTATTAATTGTGCAATTGTTCAAATTTTACTATAACATAAATTATTGAACAGTATTTCTATATTCAATTAGTGGAGCAAAGTGCTGTTCTATTTAAATGAACACTATTGTTTTTCATATAAGACCACTGAATACATAAAGAATCATACCAGCGGTGTTATGAAGCAGATTGTTTCACTGACTTTGACATATGGAGGTACTGTCGGGGAAGTATGTCTTCCAGAGCTCAAGTAAAGAGAACAGTCTTTCTGGTCTCAGACCTTCACATTTTAAGTTTTAGTTCACCAGGTTGTCTTAGACTTAGTTGTACTAGTGACCTGTCAGCAAAGATTCCCTCAAAGTGGAGGCATCCTTTGTACTAATTTTCTCTTTGAACACTTTGCTGCCATTGAAGAGGTGGCAATGTTAACCTGGTTCTAAGAGCTTCTCTTCACAGTTTGTAAGCTCTAAATCCTCCTTGAAAAACAAAGCAAAACAAATTTAAAGAAAGTACTGCCAAACTTCTCCAATGATCTGGAATTTTATTCCATCCATATACATGCATAGTAACAACATTTGTTGAGAAATTATTTCTATCAGAAGTAGAACATTATCTTTGTGATCACCAGTTGCAGTATTGCTACTCTTCTATTTAAATATATCTTATATATGAATTAGATTCATAATTGCAGCATTGAGTTTAGGGTTTTTTTTAGACTGTGCCTTTCAAAAGATAAAACTGATTGATATGACCTCATTACTTACAATACTGCTTCCAGTAATTTTGTTCATTCTTTATAAAGTATTGCATTTAACAGCAAAGGTTTAAAAATTGAGACAGAGATGCATCAGCGAAAGAAAATACAAGTACTATACAAGAAAAAAAATGCCATCTTCATTTAACGTACGTTTCAGATTAAGAAAGTGGACAGAAACATACTGCTACATACAAATGCAAAGCCTAATGACTAAGGTACTGTATCTGCTAAAATATAAAGTGCAAACTGAGCCCAATTGTTCAAAAAATTGAAATTTTAAGGCGAACTCTACAGCATAGTTGAAACTTCTTTGCAAGTTATATTTTAGCATATACATATATCTGCAACAGCATATAAGAAAAAAAAATCAGGATACACAAGTGCTTTTGAAGCTATTTCTAAAATGCTCTTCTGTATTGTTTGCGACTATTTTCTTTAAAATCTACTATACAGTGCAAACCATATGTGCTACACAATAACTATACAATAACATTACAAATGACTTTAATATAAAGTTTTTAAATAAAAAATAACATAACTACAGCTATGAATACTGCTGGTAAAATAAATTAATATTTTTGAAAATGGCACCAATAATACACTTTACTAATGGACTGTAATGAAATTACACCTTTAAGTCTTCAACTCGGCAATAGTGAAATCTCCTGATTGTCCAGATGTAATTCAAACAGCTTTCTTTAGACTGTATGGAACAATATGCTAAACACAGGTACCAAAGGTGACTGATTGTTTCATTTGACATGTTCTGCTGCATGTGACGAGCAATAAAACTTCTTATGAGTTATAAAGTTTGAAAGATTGTTGAACTGGATGTCACACAGTCGGCAATACTTTCCACTGGCTGGGGCCTGGGTAGAACCATTCACGCCTTTAGCTATACTAGACAACTGTTCCTCTGCTGTAGGAATTGCTGGAGAGACATTTTCATTTGCAGTTAAGGGATTCTCAGAGATCCAAGAAGGAGACTTGTGCCCATCTTCATGTGGAGGATTCTGGGAAATGTTCTCTTGCTGTGGGTTTGCAGCAGGTCTTTCCTCCTGTTTTAGTCCTCCATTAACTATTACCATGCCTCGGTTTTTTGGCAATAGTGGAAGAGACTCTTTCTTCTGCACAGCACATCCATTTGAAGGCACCTGGCCTTTAGGAGATTCACTTTCTGTATTTGTGCTTTGATCTAAATCAGTATTATGAATGATGAGAGAACCAGAAATGTAATCACTTGGCTTTATTCCATAATATGGAGAAAGCTGATCTGCTCCTTTAGCTTTCTTTATTGCTCCAGGGTAAAGGCATTGTGGAAGAAACAAATGTTTGTTTTCTTCTTTTGTAGCAATAAGCTGGGCTGCTTCACTAAAGACTTTTAGTCCTTGAAGTGTTGCTAAATGTGTGGAAAACAAGTTTCCATTAGGAGAAGACTGTTTCGAGTTTCCATTTTTCTCACATTTGATTATGTTTCTCTCGTAACTGACATCTGGGCTGTTTCTTTCGCTTTCTGGGTTTTGAAACACCTTAGTGTCGAGTTGTCCCAGGTCATTACGCTGATGGGCAGTGACAGGGCAAAAATTCTGCTTGTGAGCTAGGTAATTCTCTACCTTGTTAAAACTGATCTTGCATACTGTGCATTCATGGTAGTCCAGCAGCCTTTTGGGAGAAGTGGACGTCCTCTCTGATGGGGGTAAGCACTTTTTACTGAGATCTATTGGCACATCCATCTCCAAGCAAGACGCAGTGGAGTGGGGAGTATCACACTTTGAAACTGGGACGCACTTGTTAATAGACAGTGAAGTTTCCAGATGCTTTGAGACTATTCCTGGGAAGATATCACATCGTGGATGGTAACATTCTCCAAGGCCCTCTGTTGACTCTTGAGTAGATGTACAAGGATTGCCAAGATTAGCCACTTCTAGAAATCGCTGTTGAACTAGTGGTGGCCTTTGCTCTTGCTCTGGTAGGCACATCTCATACATCTTCCTTCGCTTCCGGGTACGCATTGTTCTCTGCATGGCAGGCACTTTGTTGGAAGCGGACCTCTTCAGCGGGGGATCGTGGCGAGTGGCACAGTAATACTGCTTGTGGACCATGTAGGTTTCATGTCTGCTGAAAGTAATATTGCAAGCTTCACATGTGGTCTTGTTAGGATCACTCTCCCCTTCTACTAAAGGAGCATTGGCATTCTTCACATCAGAAGGTTTTCCGTTTATCTTTTCATCACCATTACTTGCAGTTGACAACTTCTTAGATTGTGCTGTAAAGTCTTTTTCATGACTTTTATTGTTTGGCCCAATCAAATCTAAAACATTGGAAGAATTTATGCATGATGTCTGAAGAAGTTGATTCTCTGGATCTGATGTGTGGGGACCTGCATTCAGGATGTTTATAGAGCTTTGACCGTTACTGGGACTTACAGCTTCTGGCATTTTTTCTGAGACGCTGGAAAAATCTGGTGACTTTGCCATCTGCTGCCACCGGCTGCTGCAGTAATGCTTTTTGTGTACCAAGTAGTTGTCTAAATTGTTGAATGTTATGTTACACTCAAAACATGTAGCCCCTTTGGGCATCAAAGGGCTGTAAATTACAGGAGGGTAATTGCTACTTCCGTGCCTTAGTCTTCGATGGACCAGTTCAGACATTTTGGCTAATATCTCTGAAGCCTGAGGAACCACAGTGATGTCTTGAGGAAAAGCAAACTGGGAAAGAAAAGGTCCCATTGGGAAAGAGGGACCAATATTAGGCTGAACTGGCGATGAAGCAAGTCTTGGACTGGATGGTTCAGATTTTATTTTAGTGTATGAGAAACTCTGCTTATTTGTTGCAGGCTGGGTTTCTGGCCTCTGATTTGGAAGGAAAAGTGAAGCCTTTTTTTCACACTTATCAAGCTCTGTATCAGAACTTGCATCTTTAGTCTGCATGGTCTTTTGGCTCTGGGGAACATCATTTCTGCTCAAGAGGTCCGTTGCTGGCTGTAAACCTTCTTCGTTTCCACTTGGAGAGTGTTCGATGTCACTTTCTCTCTGAATTTTGTTGCCAGAGACATGTAACTCTTGGTGCTGCAGTAGCTCCCTCTGAGTTTGGAAGCCAAAATGGCAGTGATTGCATCTAAAGGCAGCTTGAGTAAGATGCGAGAACAGGTGCTGATGAAAGTTAATCACCGAGTCTGCAGTGTAAGTACAAACTGTGCATTTCAGACTTGCACCGGGTGGGAGAAATTCTTCCATTTTCACTCCTATAAAAAAGACAAGTAAAATACAAAATAAAGTGACCATTTTGCCCTTTGTGAAGTATACTGGAAAATCAGTTGGACAGAAGGAACAAATGCAGTGAGAATAACAAATTTTCTTCTGATAGGATAGTATTAGTCACCCTGCAAATACTTGAATTGATTCAGAAATTTCTTTCCTCAAACTGCTAGAGGATATTCCCAGACTTCTGCTCTGCTTTGCAAAGCCTTAGTATCTTCATGCATTTAGCAGAGATGAAGGGAAAGAACAAACAAGGGAAAGAATAAAAATAGACTGGATTTATTCTAAATGAAAAGGTCTTAGAAATCACAGTTTTAACTAAAGGAGACATAATGTTCCACAAACACAATCACTGGAAATTCTGAATGCACAGGAAGCACATCAAGGTCAAGAGGCTCACTATTATGATGTGGCTTGAGGTACAGCCCTCAAAGTCAGAGTGCCTGAAAGCCGCAGGCAGAGCAAAAGTAGCATTTTGAGCATTATTGATGCTCAGCTCTTTGCCTGCACGACTTGGCTGTAGTGTGTGAACAGGATACAGATCTATCCTCGTCAGAAAGGACTGATGAGTTGCATTCATTGTGAAGGGAGGAGGAAGAGTAAGATACGGCTTCACCAACATTTTATCTTCCACATATAATGGCCGTAGACAACTACTGCTGTAATACACCACTTTTTCCTCATGAAATCAGTACAGCTTTCCCTTTCAAGAACAGTACATTCAAAGCCACCTTACAATTTGCTGAAACACAAAAACATGTTTCACGGTATATCAAAACCGAAAATACCTGAAAAGAGATAAGACCACATTTCTCTACTGCAACAACACAGATTTTGATTACCTGTTAGACAATCAAAACTGAAAAAATGTTGGTAGGGATGATATTCAGAATCTAAAATAGATATTTTTTCTGTCTACACAGATGCACGTACACACCATACCTTGATCACTAGGTTCATGGTAGTAGCTATAAGAATATTGTGGCTCAATCTGTGGGAATTCCCTTTGTTGTACTTGGAGGTCCTCGCTTCTATTCTAGCATCTGTGACTGCCACAGTTGTGAGCAACTTTTAAATTTGACCTATTCTCTGCCTCAGAGGCCTGAAGGGAGCTCAGGAGATACACAGCATTTTAATCAGTGCTTGTTCCCCATCAGGCACTTTTTCACCAGGAAGCCATACGAAGCTCGAGCTCCTCCACTGCCATGAGATGGTGTTTCCTATGCTTCCACATCATGTGGTACTTTTGACACCTAAGTCAAGGATATGTCACTAAATGCAGAGAGCTGAAGCAATCCTTTTACACAATGGCTAAGATTTCAGAATTTTCCTCTCCTTGGGGAGAAATGAATTTATTCCAAAAGTACCTGGTTTTAGTTACTAGGCTGTAAGACATGCTGGGCTGCATTCACCTGCTCTTGTTGAAGCTGTTCCTACTGTTCTGCTGGTTCACTGAATCGTGAAATATTTGCTAGGTAAGAGACAGAAAATGGCAGTAGCCTGATACTGGAAGTTAAGATCTGGAAGCACAAAAATATCTGATTTCTAAATGAATAGCTAAGTGTTGTCTGTGTTGTCTATATATGAAAGTTTCTCACGTAACACTCTTCTACTCCTGGGAGGTACCAAACTCCTCCAAGGCAACACGATGCCTTCTAGAGTTCTAATTGCTGCCCAAGTATCAGACAAACATTTGTCACTTCACCAAGTCCACAGAGCAGACTCCTACTTCCCCAAGAGTTTTCACATTGCAGCCAAATAAAGCTTTCTTCTGTGAATAAAGCACACATAAGGGTCCTTTTGACTCCATCCATTTAACAGGAGGATCAGAACTCCTGTAGGGCCCTTGCCTTTTTCCAGACACAGCTCTGTACACTAGACAGCACCAGTCCTCCCACCTCCCCCCCCATACCCTGACACTGTGGTCTTATTTGTAGGTTTTCTCTGCTGCTGAAAGCTCCAGTGCAGAATGTTCTGCAAATTTGTGGTTGAGTCACCATCCCTGGAGGTATTTGAAAGATATGTAGATGTGGCACTTAAGGACATGGTTCAGTGGTGGATGTGGCAGTACTAGGTTAACTGTTGGTGTCAATGATCTTAAAGGTCTTTTCCAACCAAATCAATTCTATGATTTGATGATTCTAAAATACTATCCCCATTTTGTAAGGAGGGAAAAGCATATTGTTATCAAACAAGAAGTTCTTAGGAAACAAGTGTTCTGGGAAAAGCACACTTTTCCAAAGAGTTTTGGACCCTGGCCCTTAAAGCCTCCTGCCTAAGAAGCCTGCTCTAGGACCCCAAGATCTTACTTCAGAAGGACTTGCTCTCTGGTGGTGTGTTTCTCTGCTGAGCATCAAAACAGGGTAGTAGAGATTGCAGTCTAGCAGGCTCATGTTTGGTGGAGGGAACCCTGAAGTAATTGATTGAATTTCTCAGAGACCTAGTAGCAGCAACGAAACTGTGTCTGATTCCTGAGCATACCTTCACCAGTAAAGAAATGTTGCCTGTATATGCGTATACACGTATTAAGAGAGACACAACATTCAAATGAGGATTAGTAGATAAGAGAAATGATACTGGCTACATGGGAGAGGTGCTTGGTGTATAAGACAGATCAGAAACTCTTGACATACTTGCGTGTATTTGGGGAGACATTGATCCTCTGAATGTCTATAGTGAATAATTCTTCAAATACCTAAATCTAGAAGATAATACAGGAAAATACAGGGTACTTACCACTGTGAGAATTTAGGTGCATTTCCAGAGCTCTAGCATTAGAAAAACTTTTGGTGCACTGTGGAAAGGGGCAGACACTGGATATCTGCTGAGCACTCTCTTCGTTCTCCTCCGACAGCTGAGGCCCTTCTCTTTGCCTCCCGCTGCAGTAATACATGAGATGGGCCTGCAGGTTCCGCTCGCTTCGATACCAAATGCCACAGGATTTGCAAGGGAATATGTCCTCTGCAAGCAAATACAACCAGGTGCAGGTTAGCCATGGTGCACTCAGTGCCAACCTATTAACACAGTTGTATTAATTCCCTTCATTTCCCCATTAAACACATGCTTATTTAATAAAAACAGAACCATGGGTTTATGAAAATGTCATTTGTAGGTGAGAGACTGAAAGTGGGAGACAGATGTTTCTTTCAAAAGGAGATTTTAAAAATAGTTACTAAAAAGCCAGCTAGAAGTTTTTAGTATGTAATTACTCAAAAATATTAAATTAAATTGATTGATTGTTGTGAATATGCAGTATTCATTTAAGACCTAAGCTATATTTCCAATACCTCACTCCTGATAGGTGACATATTTCAGCTGCACTTTTTTCTTCCATATGCACAAGCCTTTCCAGCATTGGGCCTTGGAATTTTTGAGTGCTGATTGAAGATCATTCTGAAGAATGTGTATTTTCAAAATGCTTATGCAATTATTACCGTAAAACCGTGTTGCTCTGGTATCCAGGAGGCCAGAACAGATTATGTTTCCTTCATGTTGAATGTAATATTATACTAAGCAGCATGTTTGTCTCCTGGATTCCTGATGTTATATTACTATCAGAAGTTAAAAATTCTAATGTACTTTTGTTTTCTTGGTTTTGGTAAAATGTAACAGTTACACACTTTTCACTATGCAAAAGGATATTTGCTAAGAGTAATGCGATTCTTCATTGTCTTCTATCCCAAAATGTCAGGACCGTCTCTGAGGGGAAGACAATGCAGAGGTTGCACAGAGTGCTTCCCAGCAGCAGAGGGAGTAGATATATTTTGATCATATACCGAAGGCTACATACTTTACTTATGTGAAGAGTGATAATGAATACTGTGTATTTACATAACGCAGATAGATACTTGGTTGTTAATACCCTATCCGAATGACATCTGAACATTACATGTTGTGTATCTGTCTCAGAAGGACAAAAATGGTCTTTGATCTCTCTGAAAGCTGAACTTGCAACCCTATCAGTAAGAACAAGGGATAAATCCCAGTCTTTTAGGGTACATCTAAACTAGTACATTAAACATGACTTTTAGACACAAGCATTTAATGGAGCAGTTAATATCCCAGTATTTACCACTATTAAACTATTACTGATACAGCTTGAATCATTTGAAATGCCCATCTCATGTGAAAACTGTCATTTCTGCATTTGTTTTTGGTTTCAAATGGCGTAAAAATGGAACTGTTGTGGTTTCCACAGAAACCTCCAAAAATAGTAATCAGAAATTCTGATACGGCAAAAAGTCCTATTTGAATTCATTTGACTGCATTGCATCACAGAATTGAACTTTCTGATTATCTTAATGAATTTCCAGCCATCTTTATTTCCCATGGGCTAGATGGCTCTGTTGCTCCAGTTATGGAGCTGGGGAATAGGTGACTCCCATTACGTGCTATGCAGAGGAAATGTATTTAGGAGTTTTGCGTGGTGAGAGGATGGAATTCCAGGGTGAACAATGTATAGGGATGGGATCTGAAATTATTACTTCCCTGAAGTAATGCAAAACAGATAAGGGCTACTTGAAGTTAATGTTTTAATTCTTTAAAAGCAAAATATTTTGATTTGTTTCAGTGAATAGTTTCCAAATATTTGAATGGATCAATTCAGAAAATGAAACATTCAAGCTCAAGCTGACTGAGCCAGAGGTGATAGGATCGCTTTGATTTTTCAAATAGAAAGTATCAGTAAACATTAAAAAAAACACCCATCCTCTTTCTTATTTTTTCCAGAAACTGATCTTTCATTTCCTGCCCCCGCC